TGCGTTTTAGGTCTTGCTTCTTTAATTGTTGTGAGACAGGATAACTTCAACATCCCTGGTGCAAAACCGATTAGCTCTAACCCTATTCTGCATTGAATGTCATCACAATAGTGAGATTGAGGTGAGCGGTGACCACAGCGGCGGCGCAAAATGAGCTAACCGATTAAAACGAATGAATAAACTGTGATTTCCGCAGGCGAGAAGTCCGAGTGAAGAAAGTATTAGAATAGAACTTACGGTTGTATTTAACCACCGTAGGGTCTATTTTAATAAAAAAGAAGGAAAAAGATTTAACTACTGCCTTCCTTCATTGTTTGAAATCATGGTGAAAACTTCTAAAGAAAACAGAGTAAAGATAGTTAAGATGGCCAAGAATTTGAGCCAAATATATTTACCCGGTTTTCCCACCGAGGCTTGACGTAACACAAGATCGTCTTAACGTGGGGAGCGCCATACACATACTTATGCACCATTTTATTTTTTTTGGCAGGCCCCGCGACCAAAATAACAAAATGAATGAATAATCGGTAATAAAACAGATTTTTAATGTGATTTACCCAGGTTATTAGTAGGACTGCAAAACCAGTGACTAACCACTGCTACAATGTGAGAGACCGTAATTTACTTAGCGGAGTTAAGGCGTGGTCGACAGCAAAACTTTACGCACCTCCAAAAAATCTGGTGCCTGGTAGTTGATTTCTCCTCTAATCAAGCACTATCGGTTAAAAGGTGAAAAAAAATACCGGCTTGTAAAATCCAATAACTCCAAAACGTAACATTTCTTCATCAATGACTAGACCCTGGTTTTGATTCTGCCACGATGAACGGCTGGACTCATAACGAGGCTCCTCGCCTTGAACGTCTTTTGGTGCTCAAGTTCATCTCAGACATCGTGAAACTCATATATTCAATCCATCTCTAAAGACGTTGAAAGAAAAAAAAATGGTCAGTTCATTTTAGCGTTACAAACGGATCGCCGCGACTAACATTTAGTTTTAGGTCCATTGCCCTGAAGGCATTGAGGCACACGAGCGCCACCTTGTCTCTCCAGGTCTCACGGTCTTGGGAGAGCGTCGGAACATCCTCCAACGCCTGCTAATGGTCTTGTCGGGTGACTTCTATCCATCGGCTGTGTAGTCTGCCGCCCGTTCACCGCCAGATTGCGGATGGTGTGTCGAACTGGTAGATGACCGGTAGGGTAGTCATCTGGTTGTCGCAGGACGTCGTCACCGAATCAATGAACACGGCACTGAGCTATGGTGTGGGGTGTTGACCATGTTCATCATAGTCTATGAATATAAAATACAGCTCCGTACGTAATCTGTTCAATGAAACAACGTTAAAGATTAACACTCACGAGTCAGACACTCTACTGAATCTGAATATATCGCCAATACCACCAGCAGCTGTTCTGTAATTCTTCAGTCTTCGATATCAAAGGCTGGCAGTGATATTTAGCCCCACCCACCCACGAGGGTTACATGTGGCACAAGGCCGGGATTAACGTGGGATATCCGAGCCCGTAGTCTCGGCCAAAAATATTCCCTATTCGAACGCGTATAAACGGGTTCAGGGACAGTCAACCTCCCCGAACGAGACTGTGCCCTTCGGTGGAGCCTCGTCCGGGTTATCAAAGGCTGACAGTGAATATTCGGGAAAAACATGGCCGCTTTTATACACGTCGCATTGAATATTTTGAGCCTTCTGATTGGTTAACCCTTCTATTGGTGAACTCTAAAATGAGTCAGCTCATTTTGGCTGGCTCACTAGTACACCAGGGTAGCCAAAAATTCCAACATGGAGGAGGCTCGGCTGGCCGATGATCCGGTGGAGCTGCTCAATGGATTCAAGGATTGGGACAGTGTACCCACTTAATTGTTCTGTATGCGCGGGAATCGAAGCCATGGACGCGGGGTTGGGGTGGCGAGGGTATTGCTAAGTGTCAACGCCTCGGCGTTGTATATTAATATAATATATCGTATAGCATAGAATTATCGCTTACGGAAAATTTAGTTTCTTTATACAACCAATATTTCACTGATTTTGTATCTAATTAATTCTTTTAACTCTCTTCAGAAAAAGAAAAAGAAATTTGCCGCCATACCTTTATATATACCGGGTGGAATACAAAATTGATTTGGAAAATGGGATCAGTAAATACTAAGCACTTTAAATCACTCGACGCATGGATCAGTAATAACGAACTCAGTATATGACAAAAGAAAACTGAATATAGATTAGGCTGCACAAGAGATAGTTTCGCCCAATACCGCCAATTGCTACAAAATCAAAACATTAACCTGAAAACTTGAAGCACGTTCATAAATAGCCTCTTTCATATGGATATCATGCATGGTACCAAACCGTTCTTAATCTGTCAGACATCCTGGGTTTTTATGTATGAAAAAAGAAAGAAAGAAAGAAAACGAATAAAAAGAAAAAGTAAAAAGAAGAGGAGTGAAGAAAGAAAGAAAGAAAGAAAGAAAGAAAGAAAGAAAACGGAGTAAAGAAATAAAAAAGAAAGAAAGCGAACTGAAGAAAGAAAGAAATAAAAAGAAAGAAAGAAAGAAGGAAAGAATGAAAGAGAAAAGAAAACAGAAAACGGAATCGAGAAACAAAAAAAGAAAGAGAACTGAAGAAAGAAAGAAAGAAAGAAAGAAAGAAAGAAAGAAAACCGAAGAAATAAAGAAAAAATAATAAATATTAAAGGCATGAGATAATGGAGAAAAATAAGGAACGAATGATAAAACCAAATAAATAATGGGATATAAAAGAAATAAAATAATTATTAGCAAATAAATAAGGAAAATTACTCAATAAATATCATTTTTTTTATACTTAAAGTCGCCTTCTTTTAATAATCGAATCATTCAAGATACTGAATTTGAAGTCATGCAACATTTTCATTATGCCATTATTTTCTCTTCGTTTTACATACGCTACCCTTTTTAGTTGTTGCTGCTTTTGGTAGTCCTCAAGTGATTTGGTTTTTGTTATTTGGTACGGTTCTTTGTTTGCGATTCTTTAGCGCTCGTCCACAATGTTAAAAAAATAATGGTCTTTGCCAAGACTCTCAGAATTCCCTTAGAATTCGGTTGCAAATAATTCTGACAGGGTGTGGCACCATGCATTATATCCATCGATTTGACAAGGGTTTTTAAGAACTTGATATTTCAACTTCATATTTTGGTTTCGTAAGAATTTCCAGTATCGAGCGAAACTGCCTTTGGCGCAGTAGATTCTATATCCACTTGCAGAAAGCCATACTTAACCATTTACCTTATAATCCGGTTCTATACAGCTAACAGTTTAGATACTTCTGAAGCAGTATATTCTAGGTTTAATTTCCTCTTTTTTACTGAAGGTATTATTATTTTTAAGTTGCAACACAAATTGGAAGTTGCTTTCTTATTCCTTTTAATGGTTTTGCGCTATCAAATGTCTCGCTATGATCTGCCGTTCTTGATATGTTACCGTGATAAACATCGATTGGATTAAAACAATGATAATAAAAATAAAAATTAAATAAAAATGAAATGTGGGGGTATCATAAGGGGGTGTCACAGGTTGAAGAGGGGGAAAGAAAGAAGACAATGAAAAAAGAGGAAAGAAAAAGAAAAAAAGACAGAGAATTAAGGCAAAAAAGAAATAGTAAGCTAAAAAGAGAGAGAGAAAAAAAAGCAAAAGTGTATCAAATAATAATAATAATAACAACAACAAAACAATCATGCAAAAAGACGTAATCTAGTAAAAGTTACTGAATGAGGATTAACCAAAACGGAGGTTGGAAATGAAATGTTAATCTTTATAACATCAACAAAATACAATACTCGCCAGCGGCGTGAAGTAGGTAAACCACTGCTAGTGGGGAACTAATTAGACACCATATCCCCCTACCGACACTTACAATAGTGTCCAACGTATTTATGAGGATTGGGACATACCCATTAGTGTTGATAAGTACGGTATATAACAAAAGATGAATAGGAAAATCAGAAGAAAGGAAGGAGAATTTAAAAGGGAGGGAGGAGAGAAGTATGAGAAAGAAATGGAGAAGAAGAGAAAAGACAAAAAGCAAAAGGAAGCAGAATATAATTGTTATGTAGTGGTTTCACAATGGAAGCTTGTATTTTGTCCTAAAATAGGTCGACCTAAAAAAGGTTCGACTTGATATAACAAAACGCAGCAATCGAGTTGTGGTGGCTGATACTTTAATATCCGACTAACGGTCGTCCGACGTCGACTGAGACCAATCTGAACGTTGTGGACTGCTACTATTCCTTTAATATTTAATAGGTGTGTTCCACTATAACAATAATGAAGAAAAAGAAGAACAAAAAAAAAAAAAAAGATAAAAAGCAAAAACAGAGAAATCGAATAAAAAAGCAAACAAAGAACAACGGAGATACGTGAAATAGCAAAATAGAAGAAAAAAAACGAGTAAATAAAAAAGAAACGGATGAAGCGAAGAAGAGGAGGTTAAGGAGGAGAAGGAAAGAGAAAAAGAGCAAAAGAGGAAAAAGAAGTGAAAAGAACAGAAATATGAAAAGATATCGAAAAGAAGAAAAAGAAGGTACAGAGAAGAAAAGGGAAGTGAAAGAGGGCAAAGAAAATAAAGAAGAGAAAAAAAGAGGAAAGAAAAAGGAAAGAAACGTAAGATAAACACAATAGAAGAGAAATAAAGAAGAAGAAGAAGAGCAACAGCAACAAAGAGAAAGAGAGGAAGAAGAATACAAAAGCAGAGGAACCAGGGATTCATCGCAAGGCGAAAAAGTATTTCTGCAATAAATAACGCGAATAAAAAAATAAAAAAATTTAGAAGGAATATAGGGTAGGGATCAGGGTTAGTTGTGGTAAGACGAAAGAATGAGAGAAATTCGGAGGGGTGGAGGCAAAGATCTTCCTTTGCTTTAATTAAATGATTTTTTTTCTAAGCGGAACTAACAGAAGAAAAAAAATGAATTTATAGCTAATGACACGAAGGAATGAAAGGAAGTAAATTATAGATACGGAAAATAGAGAAAAAACAAAGAAAAGAAAAAGAAAGAAAGAAAGAAAGAAAGAAAGAAAGAAAAGTGAGAAAGAAGCAAAGAAAGAAACAAAGAAATAGAGAGAAAGAGAAGGAATAAAAAGTGATATATTGAAAGAAGAAAGAAACGGACCAAATGAAACATGGATGAAGAGGAGGAACGAACGACAAAACCAAATAAAAAAATGAGGTTATAAAAGAAAGAAAACCGAAAAAAGAAAGAAAACTGAAAATAGAAAGAAGGAAAGAAAAAAAAAGAACATTAAAATATGAGGAAATGGGAAGAGAGAGATAGAGAGAGAGACAGAATGAATGAATGAATGAATTAATGAATGAATGAGAAAACCAAATAAAAAGCGAGGATATAATAGTGAGAAAAATGAAGAACAACCCCCCGCCACCAAAAACAAAAAAAAAACGAAAGAAAGGAAAAGAAAAGAAAGATCGAATTGAGAAATGGATGGAGAGAAGGAATGAATGGCAAAACCAAATAAACTGAGAAAGAAAGAAAGAAAGAAAGAAAGAAGGAAAGAAAGAAAGAAAGAAAGAAGGAAAGGAAGAAAGAAGGAAAGAAAGAAAGAAAGAAAGAAAGAAAGAAAGAAAGAAAGAAAGAAAGAAAGAAAGAAAGAAAGAAAGAAAGAAAGAAAGAAAGAAGGAAAGAAAGAAAGAAAAGAAAGAAAAAGAAAGAAAGAAAGAAAGAAAGAAAGAAAGAAAGAAAGAAAGAAGGAAAGAAAGAAAGAAAGAAAGACAGAAAGAAAGAAGGAAAGGCAAGAAGGAAAGAAGGAAAGAAGAAAGCAAGGAATAGAGGAACGGAAGGAAGGAAGTAAAATTTAAAAGAAAGAAAGAAAGAAAGAAAGAAAAATGAGAAAAGAAAGAAGGACGGAAAGAAATCTGAAGAAAAAAAAAAGAGAGAACATTACAATATGAGGAAATGGTGGGGGGAGAGAGAAAAAATGTGAAAAAAAAGAGAGAGAATGAATGAATGAGTAAACCGAATAAAAAGTGAGGACATAAAAGAAAGAGAACTGAATAAAGAAATAAAGAAAGAGGAATAAAGAAAAAAGAAAGAAAGCTGAAGAAAGAAAGAAAGAAAGAAAGAAAGAAAGAAAGAAAGAAAAAGAAAGATAGAAAGAAAGAAGAAAGGAAAAAGAAAGGAAAAAGAAAGAAAAAAGAAAGAAAGAAAGAAAGAAAAAGAAAGATAGAAAGAAAGAAAAAGAAAGATAGAAAGAAAGAAAACAGAATAAATAAATGAATAAAGAAAGAATAATTAATCATGGCTAAGGTTCGGAAGGTCATGAAATATTGAAATAAAGTTGATATATATATATATATATATATATATATATATATATTGTTTTTTTTTGGAAGTGCTATCTGATGATCCGGCGTCATTTAAAAGGACTCTGGTGAAATAAATTATTATAATGGTACCTTAAAGTGGTCTGTTTTTTTTTCTATATATATATATATATATATATATATATATATTATTCCAGGATCATTTTCCAACTTATTGACGATGATCTTCGTCCTCTCTAACCTTCTAACTTTATGTCCGGGAGTAACAATTTGCCTCACACGTTTCATGGTTTATTTCTTTATCATGACTTTTTAAACTGATCTTTTGATTGTCAGATGTGAAACTCCTCTCTCACTTGCCAAACATCTTGTGCATTGAGTTGGATCTTTTCTAATTAATCTCTTTATCTCTAAGTTGAAAAGATGATTTCTCTTGCTGTTGTAACCTCCTGATCCAGTTTTCCTCTCTACTATTCACTCTTTTTAAAACTTATTCCCCATTCTCTTGATAGTATTTTACTAGGTCTCTTTATTCGGCTCTTCAAAAAGTCTGGTTGGTTCTGCACAAAACCTTCAACCACTATAATCAAATATAAGACAGGTTGACTAGCTGTCGGTTTCCTAGGAACTGAGTGGCCTGACCCTCATACGTAGTAAAAGGTTCCCCGGTAGGCGCGGATCAACAGCCCGCGTTGATCCACGACAGGAGAGATCACGATATATATTAAATTCAAATGCTAAGGTCTGTCTATTCAACATTTTATATTATATCTTTACAATTTCCGAACGAGGTTTTGTACATTGGGATTACATTTGTTCATAAATTGTCCAAAGTTCTTTCCCTGTTCAAGTGTTTTCGACTAACGCAAACATTGTCAAGAACTGAGTCTGATCAGAGTTTATGTTAATGCAGGTGTATTTGATTCAATTCCGTCGCGTTTACTTTGCTGGAATTAGAATTTAAGTTATCTGAAAGTGATGTTATCTGCAATGATCCCAATGGGAACACATGGCTACCAGCTCTTTGCCGTCTGTAACCATCGAAAGATACCATTGCAAGAATCAATTACGACATACCAAACAATGCCTCTGCATGAATTTTTCGGAATGGATGAAAACCCACTCTTAGGAACAAGAACAGCGTGTAATAAACAGTCAGCATCATTGAACGCTGTTTTAAGTGACAGGTTTTACATCAGACATTGTTTCTCCCATTTTGGTAGATTAAAGAAGGGTACGGGATCCAGAAACTCCCACTGGAGGTCAACTCAGGTATTTTTCTATTTCTGTGCCTGTGTTAGGTCACCCTTGATCTCTTGAAAGGATTGAGAACCCTTTGACATGTATTTTTTTTAATACCCTCCTCACCAGAAAAAGAAACCTTGTCCGGGGACTGGTTATTAAGCTCTATAGGTTTTTCAGTTGTGAGGTACTCGTCAGATTGACATTTGTAAGTGTAAAATTCAACTTTAAACGTTAGCCTGTACAAATAAGCATTTATAAAAATGGATTTCTTCTGGGCAATACAATCATTCTTATCGAGAGTCCCGATGAGTGTCTGAAAAATTACGAAACTCTGAGATGACATTCGATAAATATTGAACGTTTTTACTTCTGATTTAATACCAACAATAATAATAATAATAATAATAATAAACAAAATAATGGACGTAACTCTTCCAATATTTGTCAACACTCAAAAGAAGAGCGCGATTTCAGAATGAAAAAACACATTGTTTGACAATGTTAAACAACATTTCGACAGTATATGTGTCTTCTTCAAGTTGTATTTTTCAAAAAAAAAAAAAGATTCAAGTATAGATATACATAAAGGTACAAAAAAAATTTACAAGTCATTAGACAAACGTGACTTGTCTTGCAATGAAAAAACGGCTGCCCTAGTAATGAACACGTCAGAACGAATGAAACTCCGCCAGTGTGAAGGCATGAACCTGAAACGTTCTTAATGTGATGGCGATTTTGTTCATCTTGGAATTTTCCGTTAGTTGATTAGTTACTAAGAGGAATTAACCAAACAGCTTAGTATAACTCTTATGGACCTCCGCCCCCGTGATTCCCCGGGCTGGGAAGTTAGTAGTTTGCATACGTAACTATCCTCAGGTGTTTCAAGTGTCACAAGGTTTTTAGATTCTGATTTTAAGAAAATAAAAATAGAATACAAAAAAGAATATATAATAATAATAATGGACTTTCCCGTCAGTTTCGACATATGGGGATATGATAATTTAATTGATTCAGTTATGAAATTTTATGCGACAATCTTAAGTGGCACTTAAGACCCGCTAGTGATTTAAAAAGGAGGCCGCATATGGAGCAAGAGTGAGGACTGCGGGATGAGATCACTGTTAGTTTGGCTGACCTTTTAGATCTTGCACTCGAAGACGATTCAGAAAAGCAGATTGAAAATTACTGAGTCCACTAATACTAGTTTATCTCCATTCTACCCGCTCCCAGGCTAAATGACCGACGGTATTATGAGGTATATTGATATTGACAAGTTAATGACAATATATATATATATATATATATATATATATATATATATATATATATATATATATCGGTGTAACAACAAAATTGTTCAAATCGTGTAAAAACTAAATTATCCATTTGCTAGATTCAGATTTGAACATTATGTCTTAGAAATGATTAAAGATATCTTACTGGAATTCTCCGATGCTTTTATAACGCTATTGGATTCGAGCAATAAGAATGTGTAATTACTTTTCAAGGTTAACAGAAGAATCGTGCTGAAATCGATCATAAACGAAAATGACATTTTAAACATTAATTAATCGTACGTAAGGACCAGAATGTCATGAAGGATTGATATTAAGTTCAAATATATATATATATATATATATATATATATATATATATATATATATATATATATATTATGAATTAACTAAAATTTAAAATATGTTTTTCGCTACACAGTTCATTTAACCATGTTTTCAAATTAAAAGAATCTAAAAGCTAGTTAGAAAGGAAAACATAATTTAATTTTAAATCAGTTAATTTAAATTAAATTTACACTATTTTTAATTAAGAACACAGATTATATATTTTACTGTTCTTTCATTTCATCCTCAAGGCCTGAATGATGAAGCATTGAAAGGAAAACTAATGGAAACAATTTTAATTCTAATAACTCAATGCCTTTTCCGTGATTCTTACGATAAATAGTGTCAAGGTGGCTAAACATCTTTGAAAATGAAATTCAATTATTTTATTGGTTTTGTAGATATTAAGGATTTTTATTGCAGTTATACACGACAATTAACATGCAAAAAAATATAAATAGTAAAAAATTTGTGCCTTTGTTCATCTTAATGAAATCATTATATATATATATATATATATATATATATATATATATATATATATATATATATGTGTATTTATATATATATATATATATATATAAATAATGCATATATAAAATATTTTATATAATTATATATATATATATATATGTGTGTGTATATATATATATATATATATATATAAACAATGCACATATAAAATATATTAAAATATTATATAAATATTTATATTTATATTTATATATATATATATATATATATATATATATATATATATAAATATATTTATATATATGCGTTGTTTATTGCAAAGCGCTCAATATAAGTGATAGAGCTAAATATTCAGTTGAATGGATCACCGATTTCACGCTTATGCAATCCTTAAACAAACCGACGGTCACAAACTCATATGCACTCAACTATATATATATATATATATATATATATATATATATATATATATTGTGTGTGTGTGTGTGTGTTTGTTTGTGTGTGTGTGTGTGTGTGTTTGTGCGGATGTGCGTGTATTCAATGAATACTTGCATTTTGATTCGAACTCGATATGATAATCGAATTCTCTGTGTCACTGTCTATTAAGATGTTTGGCTATTTCCATATACGTTGCGTTTTCGTTGGCACTCGTCTGTCTAGCAAGACGAATGCCTTGCGCTGAGCGCTACGGGACTCGCGTAGAGCTATAATCATGTTCAGTCACCCACGCGTTAAGATTCCCTTCTTGGAAATTGTAGGCAGGATCCAAGGAAAAAAGACAATCAATAACATCTACTGACCACGCAAGTGCGGTAATTGCTGTAAGGTGTTCCCCTGTAGAACATGAAAGGGTCTCCAGGTTTGTGTACGTCTTTCTCATTATTCTTTATGTGTCGTGCTCCCCTCAGGAAATAGGTGATCATGTCTCTCCACAATTTCCTGTCTCTTGTAGTTCTTAATGTTATTTTCTACTAAGAACTGATCCGCCATACATATACTCAAGATCACCGAGTATATTATTTGCTGTAGCCTATTTAGGGGTCAGAAAGAAAGACATGGAATACGAAGGTAGGTTGAACAAGCGTATTGAAATAATAGATATATACAAAGCAAGAGTGTTAGTAATAAGCACATAGAGGTGTACGTCCGAACCCTACGACGCCCCTACGACGCCCCTACGATGCCTCTACGACTCTACGCTAGGAAGTCTCGCAGTTAGTATTTATGAGAGGAAGAGTTCATTCTACCTTAGGAGGGTTTTACCACAACATTATCCCTCCTCTGTCCCTCTTGCTATCTGACTCATGAGTATCAGATTTTCCAAGCCTTTTTTCCTCATTATATGCCACAGACTCTTCCTGATATCATATATAAGTTTCCTTTTTGCTTTCATTTTCTCCGAAACGTTACTCACATGTTCGGTTGTTTATATCACGGGAGGCGCAAAGTGTTTTGGGTTCGAGCACAGGTAAAATTTGGAATAGTGAAATTCTGAATCGGAAAGAAGAAGATTGCAAAAGGGAAAGAAGAATTAAAAGAAAAGGAAGATAAAGAAGGAAAAAAAGAAGGTTGCATCGGAAAGAAAGAAGAAAAGAAGCCGGAAAGGAAGGAATAAACGAAGAAGGAAAGAAGAAAGAAAAGAAGAAGCTAAACGAAAAAGAAGGGGAAACCAAAAAAAAAAATGGAAGAAAAATTGAAGGAATCAAAGAAAAGATAAAACGAAGAAATCAAGGAAAGAAAGACCAAAAGAAGGAGCCGAAGGAAGGAGAAAAATGATAGAAACAAATAAAGATAGAAAGAAAAGTAAGGAAAGCAACAACAACAAAAAAAAACCCCAAAGAAACAAGATCAGAATTAAAGAAAGAAAGAAGGTAAAGAGAAAGAACGGAAGGAAAAAAAGAAGGAGACAAAATAATAAAAAAAAAGAAAGAAGAAGAAAAAAAGAAAGAAAATAGTAAATGAAGAAAACAAAAAGAAAGAAGGAATAAAAGAAAAAAAATGAATGAACCAAACGAGCAAGAGAAAAATGATAGAAAGAATGGAAAGAACGAAGCAAGAAAAGAAGGAAAAAAAAAAGAAAAAAAACTCTGGAAAGCGAAAAGAAAGGCACAAATTTAAAAAAAGGTTGGAAGAAAATAAGGAAAATTAATCTCAGATTATTTGTAACCCTTTCCCCATCCCCAATAAATAGCAGAATGTGACACGTGGTCATTTTTTAATGCGGGGGAATCAGTATACCCACCCCGTCACACGCCTCAAGGTCATAATTTATGGTGGGCCATGCAAAAACGGAGAAAAATGTGTTCCAAAATGAAACTCGGTTAAAGTGATCGGTAGTAAGCAAGAACTAGTTTGGGAATTGGCGCAACAGAGTCTTCCGCTCTGGATCCGTAATATATCTAAAAATATGAAATAGGGAAAAAAATGATTTCATAGAAAGAGAAACAATTAAAAAAAACAGTAAAATATGAAAGATAAGGAAACATTTGAAAATGATGAAAGGCATTACAAAGAAAGAAAGAAAGAAAGAAAGAAGGAAGGAAAGAAGAAACAAAGAAAGAAATAAAGAAAGAAACAAAGAAAGAAAGCTATGTAATAAAGGAAAGGAAAGAAACATCTACAGAACTAAGTGAAGAAAGAAAGAAAGAAAGAAAGAAAGAAAGAAAGAAAGAAAGAAAGAAAAAGAAGGAAGGAAAGTAAGGAAGAAAAGAGGGAAGGAAATTAAGAAAAAAAGAAAGATAGAAAGAAAGAAAGTATGAAAGAAAAAAGGGGGGAAATTAAGAAAGAAAGAAAGAACGATGGACAGAAAGTAAGAGAGAAAGAAAGAATGAAAGCAAGCAAGAAAGAAGGATAATATTGAAGAAAGAAAGAAAAATACAGTAAAGGAATGTAACAAAGAATGAAAGAAAGAACGAAGGAAATATGAAAGCAAGAAGTAAAAAAATAAAAAGAAAGATTGAAAAAAGAAAGAAAAAAAAAGTAAAAAAGAAAAAGAGCGAGTAAAAAGAAAGAGTGAAAAAAGAAAGAAAGAAAGAAGAAATGTAAAAAAGAAAGAGACCGAAAGAAAGAAAAAAGAAAGAAAGAGAGTAAGAAAAAGTGAAAGAAAGAAAGAAAGAAGAAAAGTTAAAAAAAGAGAGCGAAAGAAAGAAGAAAGAAAGAAAGAAAGAGAGTAAGAAAAAGTGAAACAAAGTAAGCAATAAAGAAAATAAAAAAGAAGGTATGTATGAAAGAAAGAAAGAAAGAAAGAAAGAAAGAAAAGAAAGAAAGAAAGAAAGTAGGAGGGTAAGAAAGTACGAGAGTACGAAAAAAGAAAGAAAGAGGGACAGTAATAAAGAATTAAGGAAAGTGGGAAAGAAAGAAAGAAAGAAAGAAAGAAGAAAGAAAGAAAGAAAGTAGGAAGGCAAGAAAGAACGAGAGTAAGAAAAAAGAAAGAATGAAAGAAGGAAAGAGAGACAGAAAGAAAGAATGAAGGAAAGTGTGAAAGAAAGAAAGAAAGAAAGAAAGAAAGAAAGATGTATGAAAGAAAGAAAGATAGAAGGAAAGAAAGAAATAAAGAAAGGACGAGAGTAAGAGAGAAGGAAGGAAAGTAATCAAAAAAATGGAAATACAGAAAGAATGCCACAAAGAAGAAAAGAAAGAAAGAAGGGAGAAAAGAAAGAAAGAAGAGAGAAAAGAAAGAAAGAAAGAAAGAAAGAAAGAAGGAGTGTATGAAAGAAAAATAAAATGAGAAATGTGTGAAAGAATGTTCAAATAAATGAAGAAAACGAATGAAATTTGCAAAAACTACAAAAGGCAATGCACTAAGAAAAACACAACGTACAGAGAAAGAAAGAGAAAAAAAGAAAGAAAGAGAGAAAGAAAGAGAAACTTTAATGTAATAAGCCAGATTTAAGTGAGGACATATTGAAATTGAAACTGACGCAACACAGTCTTTCTCTCTGTTACGTACTTCTGTATCAGACGAAGCTAAATTTGACAAATTATCATGAGAAAAAAGAAAAAAGAAAGAAAAGTAAAGTAAAAGATGAAAGTCAAAGATATAAAAGAAGTTATAAGAAGGAAAGAAAGAAAAAGAAAATAAATACAAGAAGAAAAAAGAAGAAAAATGATGCATGTAGAAAGAAAGAAAGAAAGAAAGAAAGAATGAAAGAAAGAAAGACTAGACAGACAACAAGTAGAAAGAATGAAAGAAAGTAGGGAAAGGATACCGAGAAAGAAAAAATGAAAGAAAGAAAGAAAGGAAGGAAGGAAGGAAGGAAGGAAGGAAGGAAAGAAGGAAGGAAGGATGAAAGAAAGAAAGAAAGAAAAGAAGATAAAAGAAAGTAAGAATGAATTAAAAATATTCATGAAAGACAGAATAAAACAAAGACCAAAAATAAGAAAGAAAAAAGAAAATGGAAAGAAAAAAGGAAAGAAAACGAAAAAATGAAAGAAAGTAAAAAGAATTACCAGAGACAAAAGAACAACGTCAATGCAAGAAGAAAAAAATAAAAAAGATGCAATTAGAGAAAGAAAGAAAGAAAGAAAGAAAGAAAGAAAGAATAAAAACGATGGCAAGGAAGGAAAAATAAGAAACGAAGGAATAGTAATGATACATCTTATACAAAGAAAGAAAGAAAGAAAGAAAGAAAGAAAGAAAGAAGATGGACTAGAACGAATGAACAGAAAAAAAGAAAAAAAAAATGAAAAAAATGAAAAAATGGAAGAAAAAAGAATTACAAAGATGCCAGAAGAAATTTACAAAGAAGAATAAAAAGAAACAGATGAGATGCTGAGAAAGAAAAAAAGAAAGAAAGAGAAAGAAAGATTAATTTTCGGATAAAACTCTGTTAAAATGGTTGGCATTGAGAACCAACGCAAAAGCTCACCAAACTTGGGAGAAATGCTAAAAACAAAACTCTATGAAAAAAAAAAAACACACACACACACACACACACACACACACACACACACACACACACACGCCTATGCGCATGCGCGTAGAAATAGAAAGAGGGATTAAATGACAGAGAGACAGAGTGAAAAGAGAGAGAGAGAGAGAGAGAGAACAAGAGAGAGCGCTGAAGAATTCTAAGCAAAACAAAATAACTTTAAACAACTTAAAGGGTTCGGTTGGAAATAGTCAGGAGGTGGAGGGGGATCTGAAGTAGGTTTGTGGGGAGCGACGGCGGGCGCTGAAGAGGGCATAGTAAGTATAAATGTCTAAAAGTCGGACGGAGCTGGGAGGGTAGGCTGCGGTCGGGGGAGTGGGGGTTTGCTCGAGAGCTGAGCGTGAGATATGTGTGGACACCAGTCAGTCCTGGCATTCCCACGCCCTGGGACATGTCTCTCATTACACCATACGGTAACTATAAAGTCGGGTATGTATCGGGGACTTTGTGCCTGACAAATTTTGCGAAGCGTTCCTAAACATTCGTATCAGGTGTCATGTGACGGCAGGCCGCAATGGCAGCTCGTCGGGATGGTAGTTGGAGTCGGGAATATATAGAGAACACAGTGGATAGCAGGGACATCCGGAGATGGGGAAATGAAAAAAAAAAAAAAAAAGCAAAGTTGGGGTGCACAAAAGGAAAGTGGGTTATAGGGAGAAACGATGATAGAGCCTTAATAAATGAAAAACGCAAGCATACGAAATCGTAATCTCTACTTTTTTCTTTTTAAAAAAGCCAAGGAATTTAGGGTTATATAAATAGTAAAAAATGCTCCAAAGAAGACTGGCTCAAAATCGAAACTCATTTAATAAAGCTCTCCTTCTACAGGGTACCCCACCAAAAACCAGGAAATTAGTTACAGTTTAATTAATTGTTGGAATTTTTGTTACTGTTATTTGAAACAAATGCAAAGGATAGAAATTTAGTAGCTTAAAACAGAACTAAAAAACAAATGTTTGATTCGATGTTCAAACTAAAGAATTCTGGCAAAATGGTTTGGCATTTTCCAGTCTCCAAGTTGGATGTTCTTCCTTAAAGAGAACAATCCCCTCGCGTTGAAAATTTAATAATCCTGGGCCAACAAATACTTAAAAAATTTATATTTTATTTATTTTTAGTATATTCATATACCGTAATACCCTATGTATAATACACGTTTTTTTTTTTCTAAAAAATAATAAGAAAAATCAGGGGTGCCTATTATGCACAGCTTCCAAAATCCTTTAAAAATGACCATAAAATAAAATAAGAATTATCATAAAACTAAATTCGAATAATATTATTCGATGTTTAAAACCATTTTTAAATAAGAATAGGACAGGTCGTCATGAAATTGGAGAGATACAATTTATAGGGTTTGATTACCAAACAAAGGTTGCGTATTAAGCATGAGTAAAAGCATTTTCCCAAACACTTTCAGCACAATTTTAGGGATGCGTATTATGGACGAAGACGTATTATACATGAGAAATTACGGTAGTTATTTTTTCTTATATGTTAATTCTTTTTTCATCATATAAAAACTTTAAGTTTTCTTTTTTTGTGTGAGGCACCCTGTAGTATCAAGAAGAATTAAACAATTTTGTTAATTTAATAAAAAAAAACAAAACATTTATTTATGAAGATATTTTCGGATTGAAATTCTGTTCTCATAATATTTCTATTAGGGTATGATGCTTTTTGACTCTAGTGTCATCAGACGTGTCAGTTATTTTATATGTTAATTTTTTTGATCATATAGTAAGTCTGAAATTTCATGTTTTTTGTAGGACAGACTATATGAGCCGGTCATGACTCTTCATAACTTACCATTACTCATAGCACGAAGCAATGTTTGTCGGCTAGGTTTCCTTCCTAGTTGATGTTCTGACTCATTTACTCATCAGATCGATCGGTCACTTGCTATTTTCCATTTGATCCTTTATCTCAACCTCTTGGCCCAAAAGCTAAGCAGAGTATTAAGTAACAGAAAAAAAAAGACTTCGCTAGAAACAAAGAAAAACATTACTGAACTGTTATGTGATAAATCTATATTATATCACATATATATCATATATGTCATCCTACATGGCAGTGAATGCTGGACAATCTCCATAATGATGACGAAGAGACTTGAAGCAACAGAAACAAATAAGAAAGTACTTAACTGTTACGTGATATCAGTCCTCCGATATGGCAGGGAATGCTGTACAATCTCCTCAAAGATGAAGAAGAGACTTGAAGCAACAGAAACAAAGAAAAGAGTATTGAACTGTTACGTGATATCAGTCCTCCTATATGGCAGTGAATGCTGGACAATCTACAATGCACAAAGATGAATAAGAGACTTGAAGCAACAGAAACAAAGAAGAAAGTACTGAACTGAATGCTGGACAATCTCCTCAAAGATGATGAAGAGACTGGGACAACAGAAATATGGTTCTACAGAAGGATGCTGAGAATACCATGGACTGAACATTTGAGCAACGACGAAGTTTTAGAGAAAATGGAAACAAAAAGGTGACTTATACTTCAGGAAAAGAAAATAGAGATTTCTAGTGCAGATGAAAGAAGGTTTGGAAAATCTGATACTCACAGGACAGATTGAAGGCAAGACGGACAGAGTAAATGGATGGTGGAAGAAGGTTTAGGAAAAAAAAATACAAAATTTATTAAGAGCTCCGAAAGAGAGGAAATTGTGGAGAACCACAATTGCTTACGTCCTGAATGGACACAGTACATAATGAAGAAAAATATCAAATTCATCAAGCCAATTCTTTTCATTATGGACCCCAAAATGTCAATTGCCATTTTGTTTTGACTAAATACGTGTCTTTTTCTGTTTCTTATTTTTCCTGAAAACTTCCCGTCCTGAGTATGTCGATAAACTACATCCGACTGCAAGGACTCTGATCAGGAGGTTTTAAAATGCGTGGAAGTACCTCTTAATTGAAGCCGAGCGTTTCCACCCGGACCACTGGTCAAAATTTACACGCAAACGCGGGGTCGGGTACAGTAATTGCCTGTTTTTTTTGTTTTTTTTTCAGCCGAGTCTCTAACAGAAGACAGAGCCCCGACTGAGTCACCCTCTTGCCCGAAATCAGATTTCTTGTCAGTCGCAAGCCAGGCAGCGAACTGCCTGAATCCAACTTGTCTGCTTTTCTCAGCCGAGTTTCAACCCGAAAACAGAACCCCGACTAAGTCACCCTTCGCCCGAAGACGGAATTCTTGCCTTGTCACGATCCTGGGACTGACTCCAATGCGACTGGTATTTACTCAATCCTACCCACAAGGAGGGTTTTAACACAAGCCCAGTTTTTATGTGGGACGATTCCGAGACCGTAGGTTTGGACAAAAATTCCCCTTAGACCACAGCATACATGGGGTCGTGTTTGTCTTCCTCTCCAGACGAGACTCTACCTGTAGGCATAGCCTCGTCTGGGTTTCTCTTTACTCGAGGGCAGAGCGTTCGACAAGTGTGTCGCAAGCCTGGCAGCGAACTGCCTGACGGAGATGCGACTGGCTTGTGTCCCGCTTGCGAGCTGCTTGCGACTACTTTCATAGTCAATGGAAGGGTGTATGTTCAATAATTTAGTACAGCGAAGGTTATTTATTTGTCTCTTTAGTGGCATGTCGACTTATTATAGGTCATTAAATATCAAAATTTAATTTTCTTGGGAGCATTTAACAAAAACGTATTGCCGGTATTTTTTTTTTACTATGAAAATGTATTGCCGATATTTTTACAATTTTTTTTTTATACTTTCATAGTGTTTTGACTCTAGTTTGGTGGTTAACTATTTGCCTATATCTGGGACTCTAACAGGTGCTACCCTCCACACACCTTATCAGGGAGGACCTTGGAACGACAGCAATTAAGAAGTGGTTCCACGCTCCTCAAAAACCTCCCGATCAGAGGCTTTGCTGCTGGATGTAGTTTATCGTCATACCCAGGACAGTTTAGTGAAGGTCGATCGTCTTTCTACACAACACAACCCATAGCCGGTGGTGGGGAATGAAAAAAATGTATTCAAACGTTTCCGAAGGGTATTTGCGTTTAAGTGAAAGTAACGAACCCGATTGGAATTCGAACTCGGCTCTCTAATTTCGAGCGGCTTAAAAATATCTTTACTGACAAATGTTCGCCTCGGAAGAGAAGATTTACAAGTGAATGAGTCTGATTAGACATGGAATCGTTTATAGAAGTTCTTCCTGTTTCCAAGAATTTAGTACTAACATAAATAAGGCACTGGTAGAAATGGTAAATACACCAACAAACAAGTAATACGCCTGTTATATATATATATACACTGCGTGCCAAATTATTATCGAGATATCTTTTTTTTCTAATATTTCAAAAACCGTCCAATCAATTAACACAAAAGTTTCACACAATGCTGGCAACACTGACCTATGCTATCACTGAAATTTTCTTACTGATCTGCGCAATGTAAACAAACTGGCGCCATATTTGTTATCAGCACGGTGATTTGAGCGTGCCAAATTATTAGAAAAGAAATAATTTGACACGCAGTGTATAATGATATATATATAAAAAATAATATATAATATGCCTGTTATATTATATAATGCGTGTCTAAGTTTATTCTGTCATAAAGCTCCAACTGTTAGTCATCGAACTTACTTCTCTAGTATAACAAAAATCACAGTGTGATGGTAGTTTGCAAGCTTATGTATTCACCCAATACAAGGCACAAGTGCCTATCAAGGTAGAGGGTTACTGAATGTGGTCGTTGTTTGGAAATAAGAGAAGGAAGGTTAGATTATGAGGATATCTGTAGATATGTAGGTAAAGGTCGACCCTAGACTTGAAGAGGTTAATATTGTAGTGGCTATGGTACCATCCCCTCCGGTGTCTGCACCACAAAATAGCAGTTCTTTGGAAGAAGCTGAGAGGAATTTCCTTTGGAAATG